CGAGCCCACTCCCCCCGCCCACCCTCCGCCCCCCCGCCCTTTCGGCCGAGGGAGGACGCCGCTCGAGGAGCGGGAGCAGGAGGAGGAGGAGGAGGAGGAGGAGGAGGAGGAGGAGGAGGAAAGGGAAGAGGAGGAAGGGAAGGAGGAGGAGGAGGAGGAAGAGGAGGAGGAGGCAAGGTCCTACCTCTACACGACGGCCGAGCCCATCGAGGTGCCCTACACCAGGGACGCCGTCGACGCGCCGACGGACCTCCGCCGGCTGGAGACCGGCTCGATCCCCGCCGCCGCCTCTGCAGGCTCGGAGGAGGAGGAGGAGGAGGAATCGCTACCAGCCTGGAACATATCCCTATCCCTGTGCTGGGCATCTCCTCGCCACGATGCCAATCTCAGGGGCCCCCTGGTTTTTGGAGGGCGCATCCCCGAGGCTGTCGTCGCCGTCCGGCGTGCCAGTCTTATAGCGGCAGGGATGAGTTCGAGGCTGGCAAAGAAAGCAGCGGCGGCTTGGCCCGGGCCTCCCACGGCCGGGCTCCGAGCAGCCGGGGCCGGGGGGGCCGGCGCCGCCTCGCCGCCGCGTCGGCGCTGCGGCTCGCTGTGGCGACGGGCTTCCCCCGCGCCGACGCATCGCCGAGGCACCGCCGATGCCTCGGCGACGCAATCCTCCGATGCCCACCTCCCCCTCCGCCACCACTTCCACCTCCACCTCCACCTCCACGTCCTCCTCCTCCACGTCCTCCTCCTCCTCCTCCTCCTCCTCCTCCTCCTCGACGGTCTTCGTGCTGGGGCACCGCGTCGGCGCCAATCCTCCGACGCCTGTTGCTCGGATCCTCTTCGGGAGGCCCCCCCAGGTGTGCGGGTGAGAGGGGATGGGGCCCCGCCCTGGGAAGTCGGTCTCGGTCCCGGTGGCTCCGTTTTGGGTGGTGCTCCTCGCAGGGAACGGCTGGGGCAGCCTGGCGGAGCCCGACCACGAGGATCACAGTCTTCTCCTGCGCTCCCCGCTGGCTGGCCTGGGCTGCGGCCTCCCGCTCACCCGCCTCTACGCGGAGTACCTCGGTGGCCCGTGGAGCAGAGCGGAAGGGGGGCAAGTGGAGGCGAGCGACTGTTTTTTTTTGAGTTTGGCGATGCCCCGGGTGGCTATTGGGCCCGCCCGGCCCCCCCCCCCTCGGACGACCCGGCCTCGGCGGTTGCGACGGTCCGAGGGGGGCACGCAGTATATTGGCGCGCGCGGGCGTGCGTGGGGCTGCCCCACGCGAAAAGGGTGGGGGGTTCTCGGCCAGCACCTCCTCCCCCCCCCCTCCCCCCGCGGATCACCCAGGTTATTGCAGAGGCATAAAAGAGATCATGTCCCACGGTAGTTTGATGTCGGGCCTGTCCCTCTACAGGCGGAATATCCTGGCATTGACAGAGGTAGTTGGCTGTTGAGTCTTCGTTTTCTTTGAGCGGGCTTTTTGTGGTTTGATTTCTCCTCCAATATCCGCCTGTAGGAGGACAGGCCCGACCCAACAGTAGTTGGACCTCGGGGGGTCCCGCGCCGCCACGGTCGAACGCAGCTGGGAACATCCAGTGCGCCCAGACCCTCAGAGTGGTCCAGGGACCGCTTTCATATGTTGCCGTCGTTCTCCTCTCGCCCTGCTCCGACCAGCGCAAACAGGAAGGCGCCTCTCGTATGAAAAGTGTTAGCTTGTTGGCTTCTTTGGTAGTGGTTGCAGGTTATGCTTATTTGTTTCCGTTCGTGCTGCGCACGTCCTCTCTCGCTCTTCCCCAGCGCTTCGTACCGGCTCTTTCCCGAGACTGCCTGGGACTCGGCACGTGCGTGGTCTGGTTACGACCAGTTGATTTCGCCTTCCGCCTCAAAAGCGTACTGTCGTTCCCTTCCTTCGGCTCGCGTGGTCAGAGCGGCGAGGCCGCTTGGTTGGGTGCTCACGCGGCCGCTGGCTATGATGGGTGTGTGTGTGCGTGTGCGTGTGTTTGTTGTGTAGTGTCCTGCCAGGCGTGTCCACGTGTTGTTGTTGATGTGGTCATTCCTTGTCATCTTGCTTACCACTGAACGATGGATAGCCGTTTTGGATGTCGCAGCGCCACACTGGGAACCGGGCGATTTCAACACTGTGCACGGTTCGTCGTCGTCGCCGCCGAGGTTGCTAGACCGCAGCCAGCGACCCTGACGCGACACGATTGGGTTTCGAAATCGCTTGGTCGCATTACTTGCTGATATTGACAACAATTTGATAGAAGTTGACTCGTTCGATTACACGCGTCTGTCGCAGGAGGCCTTGTCGTGTCTGCGAACTGCCGTCGCAGGTTTGGTACAGTGTTTGCTATTCGCATGGTTGTCTTGCTTTTTGATGTTTCTGTCCTTCAGGTGGCGAAGTGAAGCTTCACACATTGCCACGCTTCGGCACGGATGTGTTCGTCTATCTCTCGCGCCTCGAGCATCTTCCTAGTGACCGACCGCTCGCGCGTCTGTCGACTTTGCAGGATCCTGGCGAGAGATAAAAATCTCAGCGGTTGGCCATAACAGAGCACGTCTGATCGTAAAGATGTGGTAGCAGTTGCGTGCGGGGCCGTTGGTGTCAAATGCAGTGCGAAATGATTGAATTGACGCCTGTCACGGGCGTTTTTACCGCAGATGATGAGCATGACCATGTTTTGCATGACGTGCGAGTGCAATGGCAGCGGGGGCGGGGAAAGAAAGATTGTGACAGGATGACCAGCATCGTCTGCGGCCGATGTAGTAGTTGAACAATTCACGTAGTTGTCGTTTCAGCGTTCGATTGTCACATATTGAGCGTTGTCCCGCTCAACTGGTTATCGTTGACCTTCTACTTTCCTCTTCACGGCAGTTTTGGAGCCAACAGAAGCTATGGGTGCAACACGCACTTTTACAATTCTATACCGTCTGGTGCCCAACAACACACGGTGCAGATCCAGAGAGGCAGCTCAAGGTTGACGCCGCCGACGCGCTTGAAAAGGAAAACATTTGCATCGTCATGATCGTCAGTTTCCGGGCCGCTCCGTGGTTCTACATCGGTGAGGGAGTTTGTGGCCGCGGCTCGGAGCTGCCAGCACGGCGTGTCTTAATGGCTTGTGGCCGCCATTCTTTTTTGTTGTGCCAATCGTGTCTCCACAGGTCTCCGATGTTTGGTTTTTTCACTCATGCGGCGGCCCCAGGGATCACGATCCCTTCCGAGGGGCGCTCTGTCGCACAGCAGGGATGTTGATTGTCCAGGGGCCCCGAAACGGGCGTCCAGAAGCCCCAAACATGTTGCATGGCTGGCCGTCCCGATCCGTGTTCGTGACGCCAGATGGCCACCCAGAGCTGCCCTCGGGCGCCTTCTGGCCGAGACTTCGGCCAAACATGTGCAAACGTTCTGAGCATGTCGTCGTTTTCTTATCCACTGTTTTGCCGATCGGCGCGTGCCCTCGCCCCCCCCTCCTCTCCCCCCCTTTAGAGCAGATCGTGGCTGCTTTGGGGCGCCCGTTTCCGGCAGGTGGGGTCTCCCCCATCATGGACGCACTGGTGCAAACGGTCGCATTAGGCAGAGGTCCGGAGCCAGACCCCCCCCTCTCCCCCCCTTCTACCCCCCCCCCTCAAGAAAACGCTCACCATCGATTTTCGAGGGACGCCCTCTCAAAGCCTCCTCCTCCCAATCATCCTCTTCCTCCTCCTCGTCTTCCTCCTCCTTCTCCTCTTCCCCCTCCTCCTCCTCCCTCCTCCTCCTCCTCTCCTCTCTCCTCCTCCTCCCCCTCTCCTCCTCCTCCTCCTCCTCCTCCTCCTTCCTCCTCTCTCCTCCTATTCCTCTTCTTCCTCCTCCTCCTCCTCCTCGTCCTCCTCCTACTCCTCCTCTTCCTCCTCCTCCTCCTCCTCCTCCTTCTCCCCCTCCTCCTCCTCCTTCTCCCTCCTCCCTCCTCCTGCCACTCCTCTTCCTCCTCCTCCTCCTTCTCCTCCTTTTCCTCCTCCTCCTCCTCCTCCTCCTCCTCCCACCTTTCCTGAAGGAGGGCTATCCAGACACACCGTGGCTAGGGCAGCTCAACCGGGGATTTTGACAGGCCAGGACACGGCTGCGCCCGAAGAAATTGCAGCCGTGGGTCGCAGCATTCTCCATGATATGTTCCCCGCAGGCGGGATTGTCAGAATCCTGGTTGGTCATGTCCTGGTCCAGCGGGCCCCGAGGTGAACCCCCACCCATCGCACATCCCCGAGTTGGGCCCCAGGCTGCTTGGCCTGCCGAGCGTCCCGCGAGGTCGGGAATTGGGGTCGCCATGCCTCGTGCCACGCGCGCCGCGCCCGACGAGCTCCCCTCGGCACCTGTGGGCCTCTGGCATCCGACCCTGCGATTCTCTTCGCAGCGTGGTTGCCCAATCGTCTGGACCCCCTCCCCGGGGCCGGATTTGTATCCCGAGTCGTTCTTCGGTGCGGTCCCGGGGCCCTCGGTTGTGTAAATTGGCTAACCAGTTTTCGTCGTGATTGTTGTCGCGACGCAAGGGGGTTTGCGTCGGGGGGTCACAGGTTGGCCCCGGGACCTTTCTGGCCAGCACTTCACGGCCGATCCAGCCGTGGCGCCACGGCGCTGGATCGACACGAGGCGGCGGGGAGGCCCAGAAAACCCCCGAAGCACCAGAAACCGTCGATCCTCGAGCCTCGATTCTCCGACCTCGAACCTTGATCACCGTACTTGGAAATCAAAGAATTCGTCGACCCTCGAGACTCGCTCCTCGAACCTCGATGCTCGAACCTCGATCATCGTATTTCAAGACATGGAGATCCTCGAGCCGCGATCCTCGAACCTCGATTCTCGAGCCAGGATTCTCGAACATCGACCCTCGAACCTCAAGAGCACCAGAACTCGTCCACCCTCCAACCTCGATGCGTGAACCTCGATCCTCGAACCTCGACCCCGGTACCTCGAAGATACCAGAGTTTGTCGAAATTCGACCCTCGAACTTTGATGTCGGGGGAGTCGTCACGTGGTGTCCTCCCGGGCAGCCTCGGACGGTGCCCAACTTTCTCTCACCGCTGGGGGCATGTGGTCCGCACGTCGCCGAGTCTCATTGACGCCTGGACGACCTTCTGACGAAAAAGGGTAAAAGAGGGGCGGCCGACATCTGGACGCAATCCGGTCTCGCGGGCGATGTTTCTCCCCCAATCCCCGAGTTGCGCCCGAAAAGTCTGGCCGCTCAGAAGAATGGGAAAACCCTGGGATACACCCCAAGGGGGCTATTCGGACGCACCCCTATCGAGAATGGACACCCCCCCATCGTATATCCCAGGGTTAGGCCCCAAATTTCTGGTCCATGCGAAAACCCCACGATGTCTGGGATAGGGGTCGACCTATGCCCTGTTGCGGTCGAAACCAGGATTCTGACAGGGCCACGAAGGCCCACAGAGGCCCCCGCGGAGGCCGCACTGCGCCGCCCTGCGCCGGCCGCCGCACCTCGGCGCAAAAAAGCGCACGCCAGGCGCAGCACCGCGGCACCGGCGACGTCGTGGCCGTGAAGCAGATCAAGCTCGGCTCCAGGCGTACCGCCTGGGCCTGCCCGCCTCCCTCGCCAGGGGCACTGTACAGGAGGGGGAGGAGGAGGAGGGGGAGGGGGAGGGGGAGGAGGAGGAGGGGGAGGGGGAGGAGGAGGAGGAGGAGGAGGAGGAGGCGGGGGAGGAGGAGGAGGAGGAGGAGGAGGAGGAGGAGGAGGAGGAGGAGGAGAAGGGTGGGGGCGCGCATCAAGAAGCCATACCTATACGACCACCCTTCGGGTGGGAAGGAGGATGTGGGGGGGGGAGAGGGGGGGAACCAACATCTGACTCAATCGATCTCAGACACCACGGGACTCTTGTCGATCTCACTATCGATCTCTCCTCGATCTCTTCACGGGACACCGCGGGACACCGCGGGACACCTCTCGATTTCACTATCGGTCTCACTATCGATCTCGCTATCGATCTCACTCACCACGGGACACCATGGGACACCTCGGGACACCACATCGGTCTCACTATCGATCTCACTCAACGGGACACCACGGGACACCACGGGCCACCACGAGACACCGTGAGGGCCACCGCCGGACGGAGAACAATCATTTGTCTGGACCCTACGAAAATGCGGAGGTTGGGCGTCGGGGCCGCGTCTTGTCGCCGCAGCAAGTCTTCTCGGGGGGGGAACACTGACGGCTCGTTCAGCAAATCAGGGGGTCATCGAGTATAGAACTACGCAAGTCGAGTTGAGGATGGAACTTCGCAACGAAGATCGGCGTGCATGGATGATCTGGGGGCAGGCAATCTCTTGCCTCGGAATGCCCTGGCTGCTGAGCAATGCGCCACGCTTGCGGCGGGGCCCGATGCGCGCCCACCTGCTGAGTTGAATGTAGACTACCAGGGCGCCCCCCAAGCGCGAGAAGCTCTGACTTTCCCGCTCGGTCATTTCTGGCGCCGTCAAGGTGTAGGGGCCGCGCTGGCGCCCCTTAGTGCCAGGCCCCGCACAAAAAGAACGCGCGTGAATGCTGCTGAGTTGGCCCCTGTTTCAGACCAGTGGCGACACGCCAAAGGCAACGACGCTGCTGGCCTCGCTGCGAACCCAGGAGCCGCCATGGGTCCCCATCCTAGAGTCTAGAGACTGCATTTGCAGAAAGAGAGAGAGAGAGAGAGAAAGAGAGGGATATATATATATATATATATAACAAACCAACAACAACGAGAGAGAGAGAGAGAGATGCAGCAATCTGTCAGGCAAGTGTTTGAAGTTTTTTTCTGAGGCCCATCAGCTTTGGCCCGCTGTGCCCCTCAACGCGGATCACCCCGTCAGGGCTCTCGGCCCGCCCACGGGGGCGGCGGCGGCAGGACATCCCTGGCATGGGGAGCTCCGAGGCCCCGTGCTCCCGAGGCACAAGACGCCAGGAGGGCTCACCGGCGGCATCAAGTCGGAATTCGGTGGGTGTGCGCTGCGCTCGGGGTCAGAGATGGCAGCGAGAGGTGTCCCTGCCGCCATATGTGCCGCGAGCTCTGCCCAGGCGGTTCTGAGCACCTCCTCCTCCTCCTCCTCCTCCGTTCTGTCGTGGCTGCCCATCCCCGAGGGGCCGCAGTCTCCGCTATGTCAAGTGTTGAGACGCGGGCGTCCCCATTGGAGTGCAGGTCCGCCGCAGCAGCGGCTCCTTCTCAACGAGTATGATTGCCGGGGCTTTCGCACGCTCCTCCTCCTCCTCCTCCCCCTCCCCCCCCCCTCCCCCTCCCCCTCCCCCTCCCCCTCCCCCTCCCCCTCCTCCCCCTCCTCCTCCCCTTCCTCCTCCTCCTCCTCCTCCTCCTCCTCCTCTCCTCCTCCTCCTCCTCCTCCTCCTCCTCCTCCCCCTTCTCCTCCGACCGCCCGAGGGCGTGTCCGAAGAGGTGAAAGACCGTCCATCCGCATTATTTTTGCTACGGAGGGAAGGCGCTCGAAGGGAGCTGCCATCGCGCGCGCCACCAGGCCGGAGGTCAAGGTTTCGACTGCCGGGTCTCTCACACGGACTGCCCGAGGGCGTGTCCGAACAGGTGCAAGACCGTCCATCCGCATTCATTTTCTTATGGAGGGAAGGCGCCTGAAGGGAGCTGCCATCGCGCGCGCCACCAGGCCGGAGGTCAAGGTTTCGACTGCCGGGGATCTCGCACGGACCGCCCGAGGGCGTGTCCGAACAGGTGCAAGACCGTCCATCCGCATTCATTTTCTTATGGAGGGAAGGCGCCCGAAGGGAGCTGCCATCGCGCGCGCCACCAGGCTGGAGGTCAAGGCTTCGGCTGCGAGGAGGAGGAGGAGGAGGAGGAGGAGGAGGAGGAGGAGTGGAGGGAGGGAGGGAGGGAGGGAGGGAGGGAGGGAGGAAGGGAGGAAGGGAAGGAGGAGGAGGACCCAGGTCAGGGGACCTGCGCGCGGCCGACGCCCGCCGAGGCCGGGAGCGCACCGTCGTTCCTTGTTCACTGGTCCTGTCTGCCCACTGTGGGATTGACAGCGTCAAGTCGGGCCTGTCCCTCTACAGGAGGAAAATTCAAAACTGGTCAAAAAGTAGCCAGGGGAGTATTTTTTCCACTATTGCTGACCATTTTGAAGTATGCTTTGACTATGTTTTACGTTTCGTCGGAAATCCGCCTGTGGGGGGGACATGCCCGACCTGATGATCGCACCCCCCGCGAGTTCCCTGTGGCATGTCGGCACTGGGCGCAGCGACCCCAGCGCCCCCCGATGCGCCGTCGCTCCGCGCGGGCCCCTGGGCGCACCGAGCGCGCCCCGCATGCCGCGGGGCCCCCTGCCTATCCAGTCGAGGAGCGGCACGAACAGTAGTATGGTGGGCTTGGGCTTCGTCACCACCATAGGCGAGGGTCGGCTGATCCTTGGGAGCACTCGGCGCCGAGCACATCCGTGCGGTTCAGAAGGTCGGAGGTTGTTGCGGAACCCTCAGAACCGAGCGACCCCGCGCGTTTCGCAGAGTATTCCAGTTCCACGAAACCCTTGGCGCAAACAGTAACCCCAAGTTAGCCGCGCACATCGCGAGGCATCAAAGCGCCACGACATCCGTAGGGTTGGCCACACCCGCACGCCTCAAAGGGCTTCAGAGTGCCACGAAGACCGTCGCTGCCTCGCACACCGCACCCGCACGTCTGATAGGGTCCCGTCGTGCCGCGGGAGCCCCAGGCACCGACCACGTCCGCGCGCGTCACGGGGTCAACATCTGGCGCGAACCGTCGGCGCCAGAGGGAGGGGGAGAAGAAGGAGGAGGAGGAGGAGGAGGAGGAGGAGGACGAGGAGGAGGGAGGAGGAAGGAGGGAGGAGGGGGGAGGGGGGGAGGGGGGGGGAGGGGGGAGGGAGGGAGGAGGGAGGAGGAGGGAGGGGGGAGGGAGGAGGGCGCCACGCCTCGACGCCCTCTGCGCGCACAGCCGAAGGCCGAGGCGCGGGCCCGAAGCGCCCTGCCCGCAGCCCGCGGCGTTCGCGCGCGCGCGATTCGCGGGCACTCCGCCCGCGGCCCGCGTGCACGGCGCACGGAGGCGCGCAGCAGCGCAGCACCGCCCCCAAGACGGCCCCAAGAGGGCACAAAGGCGACCCAAAAGGCCTCCAAGACGCCCAAGATGGCCTCTAAGACGGCCCTGGAGCACCCCAAGAGGGCCCCAAGTCGGCCCAGAGAGGCCCCCCAAACGGCTTCCGACGGCGTCAGACGGGCCATGAGCCTACCAAGATGGCCGAAGTTGGCTCGAAGCTGGCCCACAGGCACGTCAGACAACCCGCATGCAGCGGTGGAAGCGCAGAGGGCACGCAGTGCCGGTGCGAGCCTCACGAGGACGCCGCGAGCAGGGCGGCCGCGTGACGGGCGCGGCAGTGCAGGGCTGAGAGCATCGGTGGTTGACGTGCGGTGCGGGTCTACTGCGCACTTCGTTGCCATTCCCCGTCTCGGCCCCCACTCCTGCTCCTCGCTCGCCCTGTGCCCCCTGTCATCCTGCCCCCCCGCCGCCTGCTCCTCTCCTGCTCCTGCTCGCTTTCATCGATCATGTCCGCGTGCGGGCCACGTCCTCTCCGTCCCTTGCTTCTCCTCTCCCACGCCTCTCTTCCGTGGAGGTCTGTGATTCGGGACAAGGTTTGAGCCTCGTGCGGGCCACGTCCTGTCCTTCCCCTGCTTCTCCTCTCCCACTCCCTGCTCCCATGGCGATGTGCGACTCAGGCCAAGGCTTGAGCCTCTGAGAGCAGCCTCTGGGCCCTCCCACGGCGCCACCCCACCGCGAGCGCGCGCGCACACCGCCCCACCACACCGGCGGCAGCTGATCAGGGCCGAGGCGCCCATGTTCTTGAGCTGCCTCGCGGGCCTCACCAAGGATCGGCGGCGAGCGAGGGGGGGGGGAAGTAGGAGGGCGGCGGGACGTCCCAGAAGCCCTCGGGCCTTCTGAGAAGTGTTTTCGTCTTCGGGGAAGGCTCAGGACGCTTTTCAGGAGGCTGGGGGGGCTTCCGAGCCTTCTGAGAAGGCCCGCGCCTTCTCACTTCCCCCACGGGCTCGCCGCCGAACGGAGGCGCCGAAAGCCCACTCCGACAGGCGCGAGGGTGGCGCCGCCGTGGCGAAGGCGACCAGCTCGCCCGCGAAGCGGCCCAGCTTGCCCCCTTTGCCGATCAAGAGTGCGATTCTAGAGCCCGCCCTGGCCGGGTCCCTCGAGGACGAGGTTCTCGGGAGGGGAACTAAAGCACACAGGCACAATGAATCGTCGATGCCCAGGAAAATATGGGAAACTATGGGAAGTGGGGGGGCTTCAAAAATAATCCAGGAAACATTTGAAAATATGGGGGGTCCTGGGATTTGTGCCTATTCGTTTGTGTGTCCCTGGGCCCCTTCAGAGGTGCTTCGGCGGCAGAAGGCAGAGGCAGAGGCCGCGGCGCTACAGGGCCAACTGGGCCAGGCTCGCGAGGGCAGCCGGGAGCTCGGGCAGCAGTTGGAGGCCGCGGCAGCTGAGGTCGGGCCTGGCGACGCCCACTCGGTGTGCGCGTTTCTGTCGATGATCTCGGAACTCAGAGGAGGAAAATGATCCGACAATGCTACCCTTCGCCCGTTTCCCCCTGTCAGGAGCCTCCTGGGAGGCCCTCGTCGCCACCGCCGGGTGCGCCTCGAAGTTCTGGTTAGCACGCACCCTGGAAGTGGTCCAGGGAGCAGTTGCGTGTCGGTAATCCCTGGGCTTCCCCAGGAGCTGGAGGCCCAGCTGAGCCATGAGCGGTGGAAAAGGCATGCCCTCGAGGCGCGCCTGCTGGAGGCCACGCTGCATCGGACCAGTGTTCCTACCCCGCGGATGAGCCCGCGCGTCGATCTCTCGGAGCTGATCGGCAAGGATCGGAGGGGTAAGACTCGACTTTGCCTCCCCCAGCGGGCACCTCAAGCGAGGAGGTCCACGATTCCTTGCCGGGCCAGGGACGGGAGACGCCCCGAGTGGGGCGCCGCGAAACAGGGGGATCACAGCACCGGGAGGACCCGCCTCTGCTCCTCGCGGTGGTGGTGGTGTTAGGGTGTCACTTCTGGGAGGTTCATTCAGCATCGGCGCTGGCATGTCCAATGACGACAACAAGCCTGATCCAGCACTCTCTATTCTCATGCAGAACCTCGCAGAAGCAGCCTCCTAAGTGGTGGTGCCGCCGCTTGCTGTCTGCAAGAGGACCGCGAGATCTGCACCCTTCAGGAGCAGCTGGCCCAGGAGATATCCAGGAGCGCTGCGCTCCAGTCGCGCCTGGCGGTCTGTGGGCCTTCGCCGAGGCGGGCCTCGTTCGACCTGGCTTCGCCCAGGCAGGGCACAGCAACGACGCCGCGCTGGCAGACACCAACCCCTTCGCCGAGGCGGGCCTCGTTCGACCTGGCTTCGCCCAGGCAGGGCACAGCAACGACGCCGCGCTGGCAGACACCAACCCGAGTGCAGTCGCCGGAACCCTCTTGGCGGCGCCCACGTGCGGGTTGGCGCGAGGGCGGTGGCCAACTGAGATGGCGGGGGGGGGGGTGCTTCTGGGGAGGCGGGCGGGCTTCTGAGGCGCCTCCTTCGAAGCTGCGCCGCCCTCGAGGAGGAGGAGGAGGAGGAGGAGGAGGAGGAGGAGGAGGAGGAGAAGAAGGTTAGAAGCCCCCCCCTCGCGCCACTCCGTCGTGGACGCCGCCAGCACCATCGCCCACGCTCGCCTCGACGCCCTCTGAGATCACCTCGTCGGCGCCCAGCTCCCCGGCGCCCTGCCTCCGGGAGCAGCCGGTGCCGCCGTGCCGAGCGGGCGCTCCCATCCGAGGGGCCTCTGCCCTCTGCCGCCGGCTCCCCTCTGATGGACCCGGAGATGCGGAGGAGGAGGAGGTGCCCATACACCTCTGCCCCCTCGCCCGTTTTGCCCGTTTGGGGCCTCCTGGGAGGTCCTCGTCGCCACCGCTCTGGATTCGCCTCGAAATCCGATCCTAGTCAGAACGCGCCCCGGGAGAGGTCCGGTGAGTAGCGGTATCGGCACCGTTTGGTCTCCCCAGAGATCTTGGCTGATGCGCTTGTTCTCCACCACCAGCACCATAAGTTGGTGGGGGAGGGGGTCCTCCTCCTCATCCTCCTCCTCCTCCTCCTCCTCCTCCTCCTCCTCCTCCTCCTCCTCCTCCCCCGTTTCGTCCTCCTCCTCGTCCTCCACCTCCTTCCTCCCTCCAACTCGTGATGGTGGTGGTGGAGAACAGGCCGATCGCACTGGCGGCTCAGAGTCTTCGAGCCCGGCGTGTTCGCCTTCTCTATCGGGCCTGGAGGCCCTCACAGAGCGATCGGGCACGAGAAGTGATGCAGAAAGATTGGGTCTGGGGCTCCGGGCGTGAATTGTGTTGCGTGGCTGATGTTTGTGCTTCGCCACGTCGGAGCGCAGGGGCCACCTGGCTCGAGGCCTGGCTGGTGACCCACCTGAGCCATGCACACCCGCCCTCGCCATCGTTTTCCGAATCATTGCTTTGCCGAGCGGCGACGGCCCTCGCCCCCCCCCCGCATGGGGTAAGTCTCGGTTGTTTTCGGCGCCTGCTTCGGGCAGGCGGAGTCTCCCCCACGACACCCGTCTTGTGCCGAGGAGGCCGCACTCCGAGGGCCCCCCCCTCCCATGGGGCAAGTCTCGGTTGTTTTCGGCGCCTGCTTCGGGCAGGCGGAGTCTCCCCCACGACACCCGCCTTGTGCCGAGGGGGCCGCACTCCGAGGGCCGAGGCCCTCGCAGCTTGCCCGAGGAGGGGCGCTCCCGGGGGGCTGTGGATCCTGGCGCAGAGTGCGCGGCTTGTCCGTGCTGGCATCGGGCGGTGTGATGTTGTGCTGAGTGGCGCGGTGTTCCACTGCGCTGGCCGTGTCTCGGGGTGGCATCTCGAGGCACCTCGCAGCGGCGGCGCGGATAACGCCGGGGGCGGTCCGTGCCGCCGTTCGTGTTGCGAGGTCCGACTGCATGTGAATTCATGCAGGCACTTTGGGCACCTCCCTTCGGGTTGTGTCGCCCAGGTGTTCTGTCCGGGCGCAGAAAAAAATGTTCCACTGCGCTGCAGGTCAAGTCGTCATCGGCATCTGAGTCGTGACCGAGCCGGTACGGGTCTTGAGCTCGAGCTGCCAGAACGCACAGCTCGCGCAGGGCCGACGGCAATCGAGACGTGCGGGACGCCCAACCACTTCGAGCTCAAGGTCCAGTGCGGTTCCGAAGCAGGACGGTCCAAGAGGGAGCGAATCCGAACCGAGGCGGAACCCACCGACAGTGGACGGACCGAGACGCGGCGAACCGAGGCGCGACGATCTGAGGCAGGACGTGCCGAAACAGCATAAGCCGAGACAAGGGTCGGACCGACCCGAACCGAGACGAGGCAAGAGGGACCCAGATCGGACGAGGCCCTCGCCGGATAAACGGGCCTCGATCTTTGGAGCAAATTCCGAGCCTGCGAGCGCACGCCCACGACCCAGGCGATAAGAAGTACGACGGCAGACGCGCGCTGGCGCCAGCGCGCGCTGCTCCACGGGAGCCCCCGCCGCTCGGCAGGCGGAGAGCGCGGAGCCCGGGCCCGCTCCCGGGGCGTGGCCGCGGCCCGGGGACGAGCCGACTCCGGTTGGAGCCGCAGCAGGTGACACGCTCTTCTGCGTCGCGTTGGGGGTTCTCTGCTCGCCTGCGTCGTCTTCCTCCATGCCGTCTGTCCTTTCTCGGGCTCCTCTGGGTTAGTCTTGGGGTTCCCTTGCCCCCTGGTGGGGGGTCGTAGCGCCCTCTCGGGACATCTTGGGGCTGTGTTAGACAGTCTTGGGGCCCGCTTGGCGGACTATGGGGCTTCTTGCGCCTGTCGTGGGCCTGTCTCGGGGCCGTCTTGGGCCGTCGAACGGCCCTCTAACGCGGTCCCGGGTCCCTCCTGAGGCCTTATCGTGTCAGCGTGGGGCTTTCTTGGAGCCGTCCTGGGCCGCCCCTTAGGGGCACCCATTGGACTGTATTGAGGCTGTTTTGGAGTAACATCCAGCTGCCAGCTTGAGTCCTCCTGGGGCCCTCTTGGCTCCGTATTGGAGGCAGCTCAGGCCCTCTGTTGGCGGTGTGGGTGGCCTGCCTCGGCCGTCTTGGCAGCGCGGGAGCGCGAATCTCATGGGTTTCTGCCACGAGGGGTCTTCCCTCGGGAGCGTGGATCCACTGTTCTCTATATGAGGGGTCCTGGCCTCGTGACGGGTGGCATGCACGCAGCAGTGCGTGACCGGAAGGGGGTTGCCATTTCGAAGATCACAAAGACGTTCCCAAGCGGCGCTGGCACTTCTACCACGCCTCCGCGTGCCTGGGGGCACGGTTGCGAAGGCGAGCCGTGTCTGTGCGACCGTGGTGTCTCGTTCGGGCATATTCGGTGGTGGGGCCGTTCTGGGGGCCTCCGCGGACGCATCGGGACCATGTTGGGCAATCATGGGGCCGCGTTAGGTCTTCAGGGAGACAAGTTGAGCATTCTTGGAGGGATCGGGCAGGAATGAGGTCAGTGCGCTGAAGTAAGGACCACTTTCGGGCCGCTCCTTAGATCTAGGGTCTAGGGCGAAGTGCGCGTTTCTGAACGAGGCTCTTTCGTTGCTTATTTTGGGCGTTTCTCATGCTCGCACGCTGACTGTGTGGGCGAATGTGTGTCTCTGGTGCCCACTTCGGGTCTAGCTTGGGATGGACTGAACTGGACAGCTGTGCTGAGCTGGACCCGCCGCAGCAACAGCTCAGACAGTGCGAAGCTGCCTTCGCGCCCTGGAGTCCCCACAGGGGGGGCCGCGGCGAATGCCGTGCGGCGCTGCGCCCCCCCTGTTCGCAAGGGCGGGCTCGACGAAGGGACCCGGACACCCTGGCACGCGCCCAGTATGGTTGGACGAGTTATCCAAGGAAGGCATGGTTACGCTCGTTCCCGCAAGATGCTTCAGCCCGAGGGGCGCCGTGCATGCAGAGGCGCTGGGCCCGGGCCTTGCCAGGCGCCTCGGCGCTAGTTAGTGTAGGCGCTATGATCGTTCGAATCGTGCGGGGAAAGCTGGTCCATCGCTTGGCCACATGCTGCTCATTTTTTTAAGGACGCCGTGTTTTCTTAATTCCTGCCTTCGCCCTTCGACTTCAGGCCCCTTGCCGTCGCTCTTCTTCTTTAGTCGGCAGCTCTCCCCCTGGCGTGCCGCTTATTTTGGGTCGCCTCGCCGCTCACTTTTGTACGCGCTCGCCCCCTGGCGCCGGGGCAGGCGAAGCGGTGCGAATATCGCGAGATCGCGAAGCGCGCGGCGGAGCCGTCGTGGTGCGCATCTGTTGCTCGTCGTTTGTCGATCGAGGCGCGCATCGGCCACGTACTCTGGATGGGACAATAATCGCCCCTCCTTGAATCCGCTGGGGGGGTTGGGCACGTGCTGTCGGAACGGGTGGAGGGAGGGTTGCAGGAAGAGGAGGACGATGAGGAGGAGGAGGAGGAGGAGGAGGAGGAGGATGGAAGGGGGCGGGATTGGGCAAGCTCAGTCGGAAGGATAATCGCCCCCCCCTGTCAGAACTATCCCATCCAGAGTGGTTTTTTGCTTAGGATGCCCGTTGCGTCAAGGCGTCCTCCAGATGTCTTGCGACTGGGCGTCCTCGAGGAGTGCTGCGCAGGGGGGCTGCAGCCTCAGAGGAGGGTCGGTCGAGACGCCGGCGGTCCTTCCCAGAGTTTTTTGCCCCGCCCTGTGTGGGCCAGCCTGGGGACGTCTCGGCGCCACGGCGGGACCCGCCTCGCACGACGGTCCAGGATGGACCCCCCGAGTCGGGAGGGGATTTTTGGGAGGGAGGGGGAGGAGGAGGGGGGAGCAGGAGGAGGAGGAGGAGGAGGAGGAGGAGGCGGAGGAGGGGGGAACAGTCTACGACCCACCTGCGAGGCGAGGAGTGGCTGGAAGGATTTTTGGAACGCTCTTGGGCCGGCTGGGGGAGCCGCTGCCTCCGCCGGTTTAGTCTCATCGACGGCACGTGAGAGTGAGCTTTTTCGCCAGAGTGACCTGAGGTGCGGGCCCAATGGGGTCCCCCGATCGCAGAACGCGATGCGGTATTAGCGTCTAGCGCGCCTGTGTTCGGTCCCCCCGCGGCCCCCCAAAAGCCGCGCACCACAAGTCACTCTTACCCAGGGACACTCTTGCGCGCAGTCGATCTCAACTGGCCCTCCTCTGGGGCTGCACTAGGGGAACAAACAATGACATTGGACATACAAACTCGGAGGTCCGCGCGGGTTTCTCGGATCGGCGCTGGAACCCCCCTGGCGGCGCCTCCGGCGCCGCCCCTGGCGCGCTCGGGGGGTCCGCGCGGACCTCCGAGTTTGTATTTTCAATGTCATTGTTTGATTCTCTTGGTGCACCACCCTGCGCCTCTGGGTCATAGCAGCCGCCGCGGTGTGCCGCTCCCCGAGGAGCTGCTTCGCGCGGCGCCGCCTCTCCTCCTGTACAGCATTCTCGCCCTCCTTGCTGCAATGCTCCCTCCTCCCTCCTCCCTCCTCCCTCCTCCCTCCCTCCTCCCTCCCTCCTCCCTCCCGCCCTCCCCCCCGCCCTCCCCCCCCGCCCTCCCCCTCCCCTCCCCTCCCCTCCCCTCTTCTCGCCTCGCCGCCAGCAGCCAGGATGGGCCAAGAGGCATAGGACCCGCCCAGGATTGTGGCTCTTCCTGCTGCGATGCCGCCAGCAGCCGGGAAGGGCAGCGAGCAGCAATCGACAAACGAGGCATGCAGAAGCATGATTTCTCGGAGGTCCGTGCGGATATCTTGGGCCAGTGCTGGGCCCCCCACGGCGGTGGCCTCCGGCGCCGCTCCTCCGCGCGCCATAGGGAGAGGATTCCGTCGCCGAGCCAAGAAATCCGCTCGGAGCGTCGGAGACTCGGGGTTGGACAGAACCCCCAACAGTGACACGTCGATTAGTGAATTGTCCGTTTTCGGTTCTCGAGAGGGCGCCGTGGCCGTTATTTTCCAGGCTTGCGCCCGCCAGGGTTGGGCCTCGGGCCGTTTTCACTAAACCACGTTTTACTAAAGGGGGTCTGTCCATCCCCGAGAGATTGTGGTTTCGGCTGTCTTTTATTTCTCCGAACCGTGTCGCGCCCCGTGCGTGTTGCACTTGTGATTTCGGTGGCCTGGACGACGAATGTCGGTGGCGCCGCGCTCCCCGAGGAGTCGCCGAGGGGCGCCTCTCTATTAGCATCCGGGAAGGGCCACGAGCATCAGGCGAAGAACAATAAAATGCAAAAGCGTAATTTCTCGGAGGTCCGTGCGCATGGTTTGGAACAGGTGCATGGTTCCCCTGGCTGCGCCTCCGGCGCCGCTTCTGGCACGCTCCGCGGATTTTTTGGATCCGCGCTGGGCCTCCCCGGCGGCGCCTCCACCGCCGCCCCTGGCGCGCTACGCGCGCCAGGGAGGGGGGTCCAGATCCAAGAAATTCGCGCAGAGCGCCAACAGTTTATGTTTACAGCGTGTTTCCTAGCACCAGGGAGGGGATTCCAGCGCCGATCCAAGAAATCCGCGCAGAGCTCCGAGACATCATGTCGTTGCCGTGCTGCGTCCCTTGAACCAATGACGCGCGCGTCGTCTTTCGCGCTGCGCGTGCGGATGACGTGCTCGTTCGCGTTCTGTCCACGAGCCTGGCCGCTCTGCAACGGGAACGTGCTGATGGAGTCCCCCGACCGGCACGACATTGGTGCTGTTGTTGCTGCTGTCACCCGCGGCAGATGTCATGACTCGGCGCAGTCGCCAACGGCCGATTTGGCCCTCGCCGGCGACCAGGGTCTATCCGGGGCAACGATAAGGGATGAAGTTCGTTCATGTTCGGAATCTGGAGCATAGACATTGCCAGTGGCCGGCTCTGTTTTCAATCCCAGGAGTTTGGGAGGGTCGGGGACAACGTCGGGGTGGTGTGGTGCATACATACCTTTTTCCCCGTTTTCCCAGGGAGCCAACGAAACATGTATACACCAGGATCCCGTATACACCAGGATCCGCTTTCCTGAGCGAGTTGCAGTGCGGGGCCGGAGAAAGCGTCGGTGTAAGAGTTCGTCTCTTTACAAGTCGGCGGCGAGCGTGGGGAGGAAACGAGAAGGAGAAGGCAACGATAAGGGGTAGTTGGTTCATGTGGGAACGCATCGACCCCCGAATACCACTTCGTTGCCACTCCTAGCCTCGGCTACCCCCGCTTAGGATTGTTGCTCTTGCTGCGATGCCGCCAGCAGCCATGAAGGGCAACAAGCATCAATTGAAGAACAAGGAATACATACATATAATGATACCGGAGACAAACAACACAGTCATAATCTTTGTATGGCTATCGGGCTATGGGGCTATAGGGCTATCAGGCTATGGGGCAATAGAGCTATAGGGCTATCGGGCTAGAGGGCTATAAGGCTATAAGGCTATATATGGCCATCGAAGAACAAGTCATGCATAAGCATAGTTTCTCGGAGGTCCGTGTGGATATCTTGGACCAGTGCTGGGCACCCCATGGCGGCGCCTCCGGCGCCGCTCCTGGCGCGCCCCGCACGCCAGGGAGGGGATTCCGGCGCCGATCCAAGAAATCCGCGCGGAGTTTCGAAGACTGCGGTTGCTACCCATCTACATGCGTGTTGCACTTGTGATTTCGGTGGCCTGGACGACGAATGTCGCTGGCGCCGCGCTCCCCGAGGAGTCGCCGAGGGGCGCCTCTCTATTAGCATCCGGGAAGGGCCACGAGCAGCAGGCGAAGAACAGTACATTGCACGAGCGTAATTTCTCGGAGGTCCGTGCGCATGGTTTGGAAAAGGTGCATGGCTCCCCTGGCTGCGCCTCCGGCGCCGCTTCTGGCACGCTCCGCATGGATTCCAGCGCCGATCCCAGAAATCCGCGCGGAGCTCCGAGACATCATGTCGTTGCCGTGCTGCGTCCCTTGAACCAATGACGCGCGCGTCGTCTTTCGCGCTGCGCGTGCGGATGACGTGCTCGTTCGCGCTCTGTCCACGAGCCTGGCCGCTCTGCAACGGGAACGTGCTGAGGGAGTCCCCCGACCGGCACGACATTGGTGCTGTTGTTGCTGCTGTCACCCGCGGCAGATGTCATGACTCGGCGCAGTCGCCAACGGCCGATTTGGCCCTCGCCGGCGACCAGGGTCTATCCGGGGCAACGATAAGGGATGAAGTTCGCTCATGTTCGGAATTTGGAGCATAGACATTGCCAGTGGCCGGCTCTGTTTTCAATCCCAGGAGTTTGGGAGGGTCGGGGACAACGTCGGGGTGGTGTGGTGCATACATACCTTTTTCCCCGTTTTCCCAGGGAGCCAACGAAACATGTATACACCAGGATCCCGTATACACCAGGATCCGCTTTCCTGAGCGAGTTGCAGTGCGGGGCCGGAGAAAGCGTCGGTGTAAGAGTTCGTCTCTTTACAAGTCGGCGGCGAGCGTGGGGAGGAAACGAGAAGGAGAAGGCAACGATAAGGGGTAGTTGGTTCATGTGGGAACGCATCGACCCCCGAATACCACTTCGTTGCCACTCCTAGCCTCGGCTACCCCCGCTTAGGATTGTTGCTCTTGCTGCGATGCCGCCAGCAGCCATGAAGGGCAACAAGCATCAATTGAAGAACAAGGAATACATACATATAATGATACCGGAGACAAACAACACAGTCATAATCTTTGTATGGCTATCGGGCTATGGGGCTATAGGGCTATCAGGCTATGGGGCAGCAATAGAGCTATAGAGCTATAGGGCTATCGGGCTAGAGGGCTATAAGGCTATATATGGCCATCGAAGAACAAGTCATGCATAAGCATAATTTCTCGGAGGTCCGTGCGGATAGCTTGGACCAGTGCTGGGCACCCCATGGCGGCGCCTCCGGCGCCGCTCCTGGCGCGCCCCGCACGCCAGGGAGGGGATTCCGGCGCCGATCCAAGAAATCCGCGCGGAGTTTCGAAGACTGCGGTTGCTACCCATCTACATGCGTGTTGCACTTGTGACTTCGCTGGCCTGGACGACGCGTGTCGCTGGCGCCGCTCTCCCCGAGGAGTCGCCGAGGGGCGCCTCTCTATTAGCATCCGGGAGGGGCCACGAGCATCAGGCGAAGAACA